ACTTCACAATTGTATACCACTTTGTGTTGGTCTTTCACATTAAATTCCAGTGAAATATATTTACGTTTGTGGTTGTAATGTGACAAAATATGGAAAAGTTCAAGGGGTATGAATACTTTTGCAAACCACTGTAAGTACAGTCCATTTACCATTTACCATATTTATTCTGTCAGCCACTGTGGGGGATATTTTAGTTTTTTAATTTTTAGATATTTTTCCTCTATTCTGTTTGTTACCAGTTTATCCATGTGCTGCTGTTTCACTGTGATCTGCTGCTCGGCACTCCTCAGTCTCTCACTTCTCTCCAGAAGCTGCTGCTCCAAGCTCACGATCTGAAATAAAAATATTACAGTGAATGTATGACCTAGCGTCAATCAAACTTTCTGAGCAGCTGTTCAGAACTCATCTCCAGTAACAAATCTTTAGGCCCGATTCAGACCAAACAATCTGTTACATACATAAGTACAGTAGCAAATACTTTGTTACTGTACACAGTAACTGGACACAGATTGTAGTGTAAAGCGCTTTGAGTGTCGTGGATGGATAGAAAAGCGCTATTTAAGTACAGTCTATTTACCATTTACTGTACTTAAGTATAAATTTTGGGTATCTGTACTTTACTTGAGAAATTATTTTTCAGCCTACTTTTTACTTCTACCTCTTACATTTTCACATAGTTCTGTATTTCTACTCCTTACATTTAAAAAAGGCAAGAAGTAGAAAGTYGTTACTTTTAGTTAGTTTTTGCTTGTTTTCATTAGGCTTGTTATTAAAAGAAATACCGTAAAGACAAACTGTGCCTCCTGGATAGAGTGAATGTAATTGTGGTTGAATGAGACATAAATATAGATATAACATTTTCACACCGGATTAGTTTGTACACAATCCATAACAGCTGCACAACACAGATCATGTCACACTCCAGCAGGACATATCAGATTTATGTAGCCTGAAGATGTTAGTGGTATACACATATAAATTTATGCAGTATATACCTGAAACAGCTACATTAGTGCATCCTAAATTATTTAATATTAATATTTTAATAGTCATTTAGAAATATGTTTTTTGGGGAGGCCACTTCCCAATAAATATCATTTTGGAAAATCTAATCACTCATTTTTACTTAATACTTTTAATTTTAATACTTAAGCACATTTTATGTCAGAAATTTACTTTTGATACTTAAGTACAAAAATTATCAGATACTTCAAGACTTTTACTCAAGTATTATCCTTAGAAGGAGACTAACTTTTACCAAAGTAATTTTATGGTAAGATACTTGTAGTTTTACTCAAGTATCATTTTGTGGTACTTCATAMAACACCGTCTGTTACAAGATCTAAAGTTTAAACATAACTTCACTCAACCTGGGATAAGAATGAAAATGAAGATAGCCTACTGATTTGAAACAGAAAAGGAAAGTTTTTTTTCCTTGTCTAATTATTCAGTTTTGCAAAAGGCAGCATCTCACTGAGCTGTGACGGTCAGAAGACTTGGTGGTATTAAAAAAATTCATCACATCCATCCAATTTTACTGAACTAAGAGTTTGGAAATGAAGTGACCATCGTGTCATCTGGTTCATATTTTGTGTCCAGTTTCTGAAAATCATGACCTGTTTTTGAGGACATGGGTTGTAAAACTCTTTTCATGCTCATTATTTTCCCACCTTGGCTCCACTTTGTATTAACTTTGGCATCCACTACCACATATGATTTAATTTGCTGGAATAAACTTTAGAAATGAAGACAGGCAGACTTGAACCAGCTTTTGATAATTGTTACTTTTCAACAATGTCACTTTTAGACCTGGATATTTTCAGTCAGATGAGACCATAGGACTCAAAATAAAGCTCTGGTGCTCTGGAGACGGGGTTGAGATGCCAGCAACAAAGTCTAGATGGGTTCCAGACGAGTTGGATATACTCACAATGACTGTGATTATTTTGAGAGAAAAGTTGTGGCACAATTATTTTAAGATGTTTAAAAGTTAAGTGACTCAAAGTTCTGTGACTCATGAGGGAGTTGAGAACCACGAGAAACTCGCAAGATAATCTAGAGACGTTCAGGATAAAACATCGTCACAGCTCAGAGAGATACCAACTTAAATATTCACTGCATGAAAACTACAGTCTAGATCAGTGGTTCTTAACCTGGGTTCGATGAGCTGGTCTCAGGGGTTCGGCGGAACCTCTGCCGGAGGTAAAGACACACTTGTGTAAAGTCGTGATGACACGCCTCGCTTGGCCATCATTTGCATGTGAGATTGCTTGGTCAATCAGTGCTGGCCCCAAAAAAGTATTTTGTGGATCCAAAACGGCAAAAAATAAATTAACTTTTAAAAAATGTTAAATTCTTCAATATATCCTCATTAATTTTTTTATTAGTAAAATAGTAAGAAACATATATTTTTGAGGGTCTGAAATTTTTTATGGGGCCAAAATATTTTTTGGGGGCCAGAATAAAGTTATACTGTAATTTGTTGTGAGTTCACGCACTGTGTTGGTTTTGTACTTTGAGCAAGGTGATGTTCGTGCATGGCTCATTTTATACACCAGGAAAAAAACCTTTATCTACAGTGGTTTGCAAAAGTATTCATACCCCTTGAACTTTTCCATATTTTGTCACATTACAACCACAAACGTAAATATATTTCACTGGAATTTAATGTGAAAGACCAACACAAAGTGGTATACAATTGTGAAGTCGAAGCAAAATTTTACATGAATCAAAACATTTTTTACAAATA